ATTGAAGGAACAAGAATGGAGAAATGTGTTTGAATCCTCTCAATCTGTGATTCGCACATTGAAGGCGCAGAAGGCACGGCTGTGACTAAAACAGAACTGGTGTCGAACCAAGAAGCGTTGAGCAACTTTTGAAGAGTAGTACTTCCATGGTTCCGACACGGCAGCTGTTCTTGTAAGGCACAAGATTGCTGCTTCCTCAAGTAGTAGTGTGAATGTCCTTGCATGGTTGTCCGTCATTTGATAAACTCTGGAGTCAAGCAATGGCCCGAAGGAATTGAAGGAACAAGATCGGAGAAATGCGTTTGAATCCTCTCAATCTGAGATTCGCACATTGAAGGCGCAGAAGGCACGGCTGTGACTGAAACAGAGCCAAGAAGCATTTAGGAGTTTTTTAGGAGGACTCCTTCCATGATGTTCCGGCCACTTTAGCTATTCTTGTAGGGAACAAGGAAACAAGATGTTTTCTTCTCCAATGTACTGTAGTGTTGCTGTCCTTGCTAGCAATGTGCAGTGTATTGTTTTCCGAAGAGTTGATGAACTGTTTGAGTCGCGCATTTTCCGGAAGGAATCGAAGGAACAAGAATGGAGGATGGAGCGTGAATCCCTACAATCTCAGATTGACGATCTGACGCAGAAAGCATGGCCATGACTGAAACAGAACTGGTGTCAATCCATGAAGTGTTCCTTTACCAGGTTGACATCATTTAATTAGGGAACAACATAAGCCCAAGAAAAGTCTAAATTCTCAGAAGGTATCTAAAATATGCCACAAAACACATGATATTGCTCTTTTAAACAGTTTTGTGATACGTGCTGGACTGTGCGAGCACAGAGAAAGAGGCGCTCAAGAACAGAAATGAGCAGCTGGCAGAATTCATCACGACCTTAAATCTTAGAATCGCATCCTTGAAGCAGGCAGCGATGTCAGAGAAGAGCAAGGATGCAGAAATCGAGCGGTTGAAGAGCGCAGCAGCGACGTCAGAGAAGAACAAGGATGCAGAAATCAAGCGTTTGAAGATCGCAGCAGCGATGTCAGATGCAGAAATCAAAGGATTGAAAGCGAAATTGGAGTCAGAGAAACAGAACTGCTGGTGGAAGATGTCATCGCAGCAGAACTCCCGGAGCGCAGAGATTGAGCAGATGATGAATGAAATGTGTTCCATGGTGAGGCGCTTGCATCTTCCACCGCAAGTAGATGGAGAAACCTGGCAGTATCAGACAAACAGTGGTGAGTGGGCTGAATTTCAAGTTCCTCAGCATTTCATTGAGTATAGTTTAGTTGCCTCAGAGAAAACGCAAACTAATACAATATATAACAAATTACAATAATATTATGTATTGTACATTATTATACATATTAAGCAGGTTGTGTTGTTCATTTTCAGATTCCAGGACAAAGCCAACAAAGAGCTCATGCTCAAGTTTCAGGAAGGCCAACAGACGTGTGAGATGACGATAGACGGTATAGCATACGACTATGATTTTCAGGTCATGAACCAGACGAACAAGCGCACCAAAAAAGCGCGCAGTATCCGGTTCTGTTCGAACCTTCCGCACCACTGGGGCATCACTGATGCGGATTCCTTGAAGATGTTGCTGCCAGTGAATCAAGGGAATGGTCAGGATGGATCCGACGATCGCATTTGTTTTGTAACAGATCCTGCCGTCATGTCAACTTTGGAAGATTTGCTCAATGGGTCCAAGCGACGTCATGATGGGACGGGTTGTGATTGCCTTCACGGAAGATCGACCTTTCGGCTGGTGGAGGCTTACCAGGTCAAGAATCGGGAATTATGGCGCCGGTATCAGCGCCATGTGCGAAGCATTCTTGACAAACATAAGCAGCACGGAATCAAACCCAGGGTCATTGATCCACCAGTTGGCGAGGCCTTGACTCGGTTTGCCACAGACATTCAGGTCGACCTTGTTGGCAATGAGCTTTTGTTGTTCCATGGCACGAGAGAATTTGACCTCGCAAAAACGATTGCCAAAGAAGGTTTCGACAATCGAATTGCCAGGTCAGGCGGGCTCTATGGGTCGGGCACATACTTTGCTGCGCAAACATGCAAAAGTGCCCAGTATGCCACTAACAAAGGCATGCAAGAGAAAGCATCGACCCAATTGATGGGGACTATGCTTGTTGCTCGTGTTGCTATCGGAGACCCACACTATGCATCAGGGCCGTGTAAAAACTTGACGCGCACCTTTCCAGAATTGATCAATACTTTTGTTAGGAGGGACTACATGTCAGTGCTTTGTGTTTCGCTCCAGTTGGCGGATTCGATTTGTTTTTAATTTCATTGTGTTGTTTGTGGGTTTGCAAGATGATAAGATGCAAAAGACCTGATACTGGGATCCTGAGCAGAGCCTTCAAGGCCCACCTACGAAGAATGTTAGCGCATCCGCATCCAACAGTGCCCACGAAATTCGGTACGATTCCATCATCGCAAAGCCCGGCATTCCCAATGGCCAAAGCAACGGAGTACAGGCTCATATGGAGTTTGTGACATTTGCACCGGAGCAAGCTTATCCGGAGTATATTCTTAGATTTATCGAGGAGTAGGTGGTCGCTGGCAGCAAGTCCACGCCCGAACTGCGGTTTGGTGGGAAAAGTGGCACTGGCAAGCCCAGAACTGTCAAGAGCTTAGGTTTGCCGGCGGTGTGAGTGTGACTATTCCTTCCGCCATTCAATCCCAGTATAATATGTGTTTATGGCCTGAATTGTTGACCCTTCGTGGGATGATTCATTGTGAGAGGTATGAAAGTGGATGTGTTGTTTTTCGAGCAAATTCCTGACGCATGCCTTATTTGGCATGTGCGCCACTTAAAGCAACAAGACGGATGATGCTTGACAAGCCGGTTCAATACTTAGTGACAGCCGAAGATGCTACAGATATCAACTAAGAATGTCTCCGATCATGATGGGACCCCAAAATATCGATTGCCAGCTTTACACAACAATCAATATGGATTGAGGGATGTTGAGACTGGCCCTGATATGTGAAGTGCACACTGTATATTTATATATATATATTATTCTTTAGTTTACTAAAAAGTAGGGAGCTGGTGGAGCCTCCACCTTTCCAGCATGAGGAACAGAGTTTTCTGGGCGGGCGGCTTTGGTTGATATATGCAGAAGTGAACAATAGCTGAGTAGTTGTTCCTTGTGGGTCATTTGGGGCCACAAGTCTTTGCGCACTCTCGCTCCCGGGTCGAACAAGTGTTTGAGCCAGGCCAGTGGAGTCCTTTTTGTCAGTGACCCACTTGAAGAATGTTCAAGCCTCTCAACTTTGTCTAAGAAGACAGGCTAGCATACAAGGTCCTACTGGTAGCGGCTAAGTCACCAGTTTCCTGCTAGGGCAGATTGTGGGAGCAATTGTCGCTCACAATCACACCAAATCAGCGAATTCCTTCTCAAATCCCATCCCGAATCCCATGAATTCTTGAAAACAAGAACTTGAAAGTGGTGGGGTGGGGATCCTCTTGGGAGGGGAAATACCCTTCTCTTAAGTTTTGTTCAGTTCTTTGGCACCCCAAAAAGACTTGAAGGATCATGCAGAGTTCTTTTGGTCAGTGACCAACTCAGTGACCGAGTCATTCAAATTCAGTTTTTACACGTGCAATCCCAATCCACCAAGCCGAGGTCGCCCACCGATTCACAGGCTTTCCTCTCGTTCAACGACCCTCGAA